TTCCTTCTCACCTTTGGAGGCTGCCCGCTTCAAGGCTATAACCTGAGTCCTGCAACGATTTAGCGTCATCGGCCTTGTTCCACTCGTCCGATTCCAAAGGGAAGGGCATTAAAAAACGCTTATGTTCGCCGTTTTCACGCTTTCAAAAGTGGATTTCGGGAACGGCGTATTGAATAATCCCAGGTAAGCGCAAATTTGACTTGGTTGAAATTTGCCGAGCCACTGCCTTTAAACGCTGATTTCAAATCTGTTTTTATTTTGCGAAACAACTTTACGAAGGAATTTGTGAACGTTCAAAAGTCCAAAACTGTCAAGTTTCAAGTGGCATAAAATTTATTAAAATTATCACCACAAGATCATCTAAAAGTGATTAATCAATTATATATCAAGCATACTGACTACAAGGAAGGAAGAGCCAGTAGAAATCCGAATAGGTGTTCTTGTAAGCTTTTCGTTAATTTTATGCCACTTGAAGCTTCACAAATTTGGGCATTCAAAACGCTCATAACTTTTTTCAAAGAATGGATCCACAAAATGAAAAATGCAGATTTGAATTAGCGTCCAAAAACGCGTTGAGAAATAGTTACATTTCGAGTTACATTTCGTCTTCAGTCTCAAACATGTCGTGGTATCCTTTCTTGTAGTACTTTGAGTTATCGGGTAATCGTTACGTCCTTTCTAATGTGAAAGAAACCAAGAGCTTTTAAATCAAAACCACGACTGTAGCTTTCATTTATTCTGTGATTAGAAGACTCTGAACTGCTTTGCACACATTGTCAAAACAAGCTTGATCGGCCGTTCAACAGATTTATACCTAGCGTGATTTACCTAATCAGATTATTTGCAACTTGAAAACAAGAAGGGACAAGTTTGAGTTTATTAGACAATATGGAAGCGGTTTCGAGTTTCTTAGGCTGGGTTACTGATCTGGAAGTTCCGTAGTCCCAGCGCAATTTCCGCAATAGAACTGTGCCGGAACTGTGATGCGTGCGCTGCAGCTATACGCATGCGGTTTTGAGCGGTAGAAATTCGAGACTTTCAATCGGTTTCATAGGGTTTTCTCTCAAATTTCATTTATTTCGGTTTCATTCCTTTATCCCCCTTTCCTTTGTGGTGAAAAAAGCTGCAAACTTAGCGGGCAGGATGAGCGCAGTTCCTACGTACCTAGGATAATGGGTTTTCGTGCGCTCGTCCATTCACTCTGTTATTTTTGTTTGAGTCTGCATACTCTATTATTTTTGTGTATACCTGCGTTTCAGGAATCCGCTGCGTAGTCCTGCATTTGTCTTGAAAAGAGCATGAACAGCTCTTTAGGACACCTGAAGTAGGTCTAAATGCGAATTACGAAGAAGGAATGGACGAGCGCACGAAGACCCATCTTCACGGATACATGGTGCAGAACAGCGTTTATTTTTAAGCACCGCTTCAATTTCGCAGCTTTTCTTACCTCAAGGAGAAGCAGTGTTGAGGAGTGAGCCGAAATAAGTAAATTCTGGAAGAAAAGTGTCAAAAATGTTCAAATATATCCATGCCACTCAAAACCACATGCGGACGGCTGCAGCGCACGCGGCACAGTTCCGGCACAGTTCCAACATAGCGCGAGTGCTAGAAGTGTTCAGAAACTTCCGGATCAGCATGGACGCAGCCTTACACGAATAAAAGATGTACTGGATTGGCTGATACTCACAAAAAGTCCTAACCTAGGTAGACGTTTTGAAGTACGATACGCACATACGTTCGAAATCGGCTTGAAACGGTGATATCAAATTTTTTGGGAGACGGTCAAGAGGCGCGATTTCTCTGGCTGTCACCAACTTTAAACCCCAGTTTTATGCTATGCGAGGTCTTCAAAAGCATCAGGTAAGGCATTAACTGCATTAACTTACTATCTGTCTGAGGTTACCGTTTGCTGAGTTTGATGGCTTTTGCTGGGAAATGGACCGAAATATTTACGAATTTGTTCTCAACTGCATGATCATGGGTTTTTGACCTTCAAAATTGCAGTTTTGAATGATTCCAAGGTATTAAGACTAAACAACCCATGCAATTATCTGATATATCTTCTTCTAAAATCTGAATAAATTTAGAAAAGTTATAAAACACTTATTATGTGCTATTTGGTATCCATCTGCCAGTAAAAATCGCGCCTCTTGACATACACCCAAATTTTTTGTAGAAAGTTGCGAAGCTTTTTTCTAAAAAAATATGGGCTTTTTTCTATGATTTACATGCTTATCGATTGATATGACAAAATTAAATTCAGATGGTAGTGAGTTGTATAATGCTTCCTATCAGCGCCAAAAAACTTGATCTGATTTTATTCCAATACCTTTGCACCTTTTTCGAGCAATTTCTACACATGCTGTCTTCCCATTTCAGATTGATGCTTTGCAGCCCGGAAGAAAGGAACTGAACTTAGTGTTCAAAGCTAATTCCGAACATACTAGTTGTTTTTTCCAAACCGACCTAAGTTGAGTGCAATCAGTCAATTGCATGCAAAATGCTCATGTTCGAATTTGGAAATTAAAATTTGGCAATTTCGAAATATGAATTTGGCGTCATGGATTTGAAAGAAAAACAAATCTTTTGCCTATTATCGGCTTCCCGTGAGTTGGAGCGAGACATTGGATCTGTTGATAAACTTTAGACCTTACGTTAAGCATGTCTTTCAAACTCAGTGGCTATCAAAAATTGCCCGCTTCGAGCTGCATTTTACACGAATTAGGAAGCCAACACTATAGATTCATTTGCCATGGAGCCACAAAACTTATAAGAAGAGAAACACAAGCTTACCTACCTTACCTACTTCACTTAGCTCGACCTTTTAGCGAGGGCATACATATTTATATTGTAAATCAGCTTCAAACGCCGATTCTAAATATGCTATTCCGAGCTGTGGCGGACCATTCCGAAGCGACCTAAGGGCTTTTTTTCTGAGCAAAGTTGGCATACCACTGAACATGGAAAGACTGTCTGTAGGATAAAGGCTGCAGGAAATAGGTGCTGAATTATCAAAGCACAAAACGATTTTTTTTTCATTAGAAAGAAGTTTAACGTAAGTGTATTAGCACTTAGATGATGAGGCGGTGCTGCCAGTGAGTCGATGAACAATTCTACACAAAAAAGAAAATGCAATAACTTCCATTAGATTTAAGCGCCGCAGCTAGGAATAGCATAATAGAAATCAACGTTTAAGGCTAATGCAAAAATATAAGTTCTTTTCCAAAAGGTTGAGCTGAGCTAAGTTCTTACTTTGTTAGTTTTCCAACTAATACACAAGTACGTCGCCTGGGGCGGGAGAGGAATGATTTGTATTATAGAAGTAGATTATTCTTTGGTTACTATGGATTTCCAACGAACTCTACTGCCCTTCATTATGAAATCAAGTTAAAGAGTACATCCATATTAGCTACAATTTTTGACGCTCTTTTTTATTTCTCGGCTGGGATTCGACAGCACTTACCCCTATGCAAGAAAAGTTAATCCAATATCCGAGTCGCGAATGCACTTTGAGCTATTATAACGCCTTGATGATTTAATTGAAATTCACTTTATCCTTTTTCCCGCCACTCCTTGTTTCTTTTTTCTTCTTTTTCTTCGAGCCTTACACATCGCATTCTAGCGAAAGTTGGTAAAGAGTTTTTCGAGAAGAAAGATGTACAGATATACGAAATTCTAAACTGGCCTTGTGTTTACTTGTACTAAATAAAAAATGGCGAAGCTCAGAAATGAGTTATGAGAGAATATCTAGTTACGGTACTACTTCGTTATACGCAACCATTCTTATAATAGATTTATGGTGCTATATACTCTGAGTCTAACTAAATTAGTCTCTGATTTTGCTCCGCGTGTCAAGTGAAGTATTATGCTGAGCCTAAAAACGTGCAATTTCAGTCCTTTTTCCGATGACGAAAAAAAGGTCCTTTAGCAGCTTTTTAGGTCTTCAAGAAATCAGTTCAAAACGACATATTGATTGCCTCAAAACGACTTGCAAATCTTAAGCTGATGCTAAATCAATAACGTTTTTCTTATTCCCCTCTCTCAAATTCTGTCTCTAAAGTAGAACAAGGTTTTTTGAAACTTTTTGAAAAATTAATCTGAAAGGGCGTTTCTTTTGAATTCGTACAGTATGTCACCGCCTTTGTAGATCTTTGTTCATGTTTATTCTTTCTTTTATTCTAAGAATAAAAAAATTTTTCCTTTTGCACTCTTTGCCCCAAATCACAAAAAGTGAATCTGTATATATGCAAACAAATTGAATTTACGATTATATAATCTTATAAAGTTGAATGTCTGTTTGTATGTCTGTATTTATGTCTGTCTGTATGTATGCATGTATGTACGTATGTTCCGAATAGAAATTTTTATTTCTGAACCGATCCAGACCAAACTTTGCACACATACACTTCGGGGCCGGGCAGGTGTCATAGGCTACTTTTCATCATCGATCGATATCGATTTTATTGATTAAAAAGTTCGAGCTACGGGGCTGGAAGTTGGCACAGGGGGTAAGTGAGCTTGCTGATTACGAATATATTATTGACAGGGCCGGGAGGAGCCGGGTTTGCCAGCTAGTATAATATGTAATCGTAAGACCTCTTCTCCTACTAAATGCTTCCTAAACGTAATCTTTGAGAAATCTTGAGTCGGAAATGTTACAGCAAGTTGGAGTTTTGTGGCGTAAGAATCTTAAGCGTGCAAAGGATTGCTGAATCTTCACAGTATGCTCTCACTTTTTAATGGAAAGAATTGGTTTGTTTGGCTTTCCCAAAATACTAGAGGACACATCAAATCAATATGCGACATCATCCCTCAAAAGAAATTCCAAAAACTGGGCTATTCAACTATTTGAATGGTTATTTATTTCTTATCCATACAGTTTCGGATATCTGAATTCCTGAAGTTTGATCAATTTCGTCTGCGTGGAATGCTTTTTCAGACATTCATCCCTGCCATGCTACAAGTTTTTTTTGTTTCACTTTATTTTCCGTTCATTTCAGATGCCATTCTTTATTGCTCTGATAATATTGTGCATAATTGTGCTTACAGCTATAATGTTATGTTCTGCTATACTCTTGGCTATGTGGCAAGAACGAAAATCTTCTCGTTATAAAACTTTCTTTTATAAAAGTTGGTGGAACGAGGTACGAAACTCATATGATATCAGTGTTAACTATCTCACGCACCAATGCTGTAAAAGTCGTAAATTTTTAGGGATTTATTAACTTGTTTACGTTCATTTTCTTCCTATTGACTATGTATGCACGATGCTTCAGCAATACGGCTTTCATCTTCCTCTATTTGAATCGTTATCCGTGGTGGACGAAGTTTGCGCAGATCACCGTAGAGCACGTATTGTGTATACAGATTATGAACGTGCTCTTAACAGTGGCAGCACGATTTTTCAACTTATGCTTACCACTCTCAAGAATTGCTCTTGTGAGTTTTACTCATGGATTGACAGGCATTGTCCTCTCACACGTTTTCGATCTAACGACTTTCTGCGCACTTGTGTTTTATTAGATCAAAGATCAAACTCTACATTATGGCTTTTGAACATGCGCACAAATCTATTTACTTAGAGGTCCAAGCCAAAATTTATAATCTTTAGTCAAAAATTTTCAGCCATACAAAGTTGGATCTCCGTACAATGCGCCTTACGAACCGCTTACGCATGTCCTCTCCACCTTAGATATTCAGATATGCAGCCTTAAACATATCCTTTGATTTAACGGAAATGGCGGCCGGAAGACGGGGCTTGGTGGCCTGATCAATGTTAGGGAATGATTAAAGAGCGCGCCCGCGAGAAAGGCGCAAACTGCGTTGCGGGTGCGAGCGGCACCTTTCCAGCCGCCAATCCCGTTAAATCAGAGGGCAGCTGCTTATTGTATTGTATGCAGGCAAATTGAGAACTAAAATTGAGAACTTTTACAGATCTATCTAGGCTTCTTTCACTTTGTTGAGTCTATTATGAAATGATAACCGTGCTTTTTTAGCCTCACGTATCCTAGCTTCTGTAAAGTACCGTGTTCAGCAGTGATTACCCCTCAAAGGCAACATTTTGTATTTTTAGCGTATCGCCGCTGTCTGTATTTTCGGGCTAGCCCGAAGAAAATACAGACACTCAAATAGGTAAATGTTCGGTGTGAATATATAGAAAATTAAGAGATTTGTGAATTCTTTTAGGGACTTGATCTTCTCAATGCAAGCAATCTTCTCAATAGTTAAGTTATCAGATATTTGTTTAAGCTTTGGAGGCTAAGTAAGAACTTTGTCAGATTAAAAACTTGAGAGACACCTAATAGTATAATCTCAGATAAGAGCTAAATAACTAGAATCTTTGGCTTGGTGTCTGCCAAGTCTTTCCGAAAATGAAAAAGTAAGCCATTCTTACGTAGTTTGGTAATATTGACATTATTGTTACCATTCTTTTCGTTCAATGTACTTATCTCCTTCAACGCTCTTCTCTTCTTCGCCGTTAACTAATATAACAACTATGTGACTTCCACGCTTCATTAGACTCTTTTATGCACTTGGTCCTAATTCTGGTAGCGATCAAAATACCTTGCTGATTTTTGGGAAGCGATCTAATGCGTCTCCTTTCCATCCTCCTCCCTGACTCTACCACTATCAGCACTCATTTCTAACTAACGAACTTAGAGTGCAGCAAATAAGTGAATTGGTAGTAGCAAAGCACTGCTGTGCTGCCAAGAGCGAGCTTGTAGAGACGGTTTAAGCACAAATTGCGGAGATCCAAATCCAGTCCTTCAAGGGTGTGGCGGGGAATCTTACCAAGTCTCGGTCCAGCATCTTCGTTAATGAACTAATCTGGCCTTTATTTGGGCTCAAAACAGCAGAGTTGGTCCTGCGAATAACGCGTATGAATAGCAAAGACAAAGAAATGGAAATGGACTTGGAATGGTTTTGTTGAATTCAACATCGCAAAGTTCCACTCTTTTTTATGCAGTGGTATGGTTTATGTATTCAAAAGGGAAGGTTGAATGGCGAAAGCGAAAGAGTAGCAATTTTTCTTTATAGATAGAAGCGGGGGATCCGTCTAACGTATCTTACTACGTAAGTATCTTACTACGTCGGCAAAGCGAAGGCCGGAGATTCTGGGAGACGCTACGCTGCTAGAGTAACGCTGTATATCGTAGTGCTATACCCGATGTCACCTCCACTCTGGGGTAGATTGTATAGGAGAGCATATACTACGTATTTGGTTAAGAGTTACTAGTTATATGAGTTAAGCACGGCATCAAAATGTGATCTGTTCTTTGAAGAGGTATTCTCAGTTCACCGCTTAGCTGCTTGGCATTTTCTTCGATAGTAAGTATCTAGTAGTATAAGAAAGCGCGTTGATAGTAATTTTCTCGCTGTATTTGGTACGCGCTTTCTGGATGGAGAGAGCTTACAATTTGTATTGCAGATGGAAGCTAAAAAATGCTTGACAACTGCATTTCAGAACAAAGATCTCTATTATCTCTTGCGCATATCTGTTACCGTTGCCTTCATGACTGACACATTTGTATCATTCTAGGTTGCCGAAAAATTGGGGAACTGGCAGATTTTTGTGCTACAGGCTTTTGTTCCCACTCTGGTAGTTATTCCGTTGTACGCCCTTTTTGATTTCCAATATGGATTAGATGATGTCACAACTCCACTGTTACTGAGATCCCCCAGCGTACATTACGACCAGGTCAGTCATATTAAATGCATTCAAAGCCTCAAAACATAGAAATTGTGAACTGATTAGATTATGCTTCTTATCGGACTGATTTATCGAGTTGCCGCACTTGTACTATGTGTATTCGTTTATATCTCTCTCTTCTGGACAGTGCGGAAAAAAGCGTATGTTTACTTTCTGTTTATAATGATTTTTCGCAGAAAGTCTTCATCGGTTGTATCTTCAGAAAACGCAGTGAGACAAACATTCTGATTTATGGCGGATGCCTATTACTAGCACTTGCTGCTGTGGTGTTATGCACTATATGCCGAGGTTTTCGTATAGGAGAGGTGCGTTTCACTTGTTCTTGATTGAAATACCATCTGCAGCTTTTTCTGCTAATATAGGATGAGGCATTCATGCGGCTGTTTTATTTAACCTTGATGTTGTGGATTCCATGCACTGATATACTAATGACAATATGCGTTATAACGCCAGTACGGGAGAGTATTTTCAAACGGTTCAAAAAGCGAGTAACCCCGCCTGTAATTTTTGGACAGGTACCGTAATCATACCGTGATCATTAGATTTGTGATTATTAAGGTTTCGTATAATTTTTGCTGCAAGTACGAATGGTGAATCTTCGTGACTTACTTACAATGCTGTGCTATTTTAACTTTCCTGGGTGCTATATATAATACTAATAAAGTATACTCGAGCATTTTTGCTTCGTCTCCAGGGCCTGCAGTAATCTCCTTCGGAAGCCCCACAACAAGAACAAGCTAGGGTCGCGTCAGCTCAGAGTAAATAACGAACCTTGCGGGAGTCCCGAAATGCCTCCGTAAAACTTGCGCAACTACTGGTGCGCCGAACCTTTGCCTAATGATTACATCCATGAAGCACAGCCACTGCGCTATACGAAGCTCTTTGGTAGTAGCCACTGTTCATATGCCCTGCAAATGCATTCCTGCGATAAAGGAAAGCCCGCACGATAACTAACAAGTATTAGGTTGCTTCTCAGCCCTGCTCATTGCAAAAAAAAAATCAGTAACGTACACACATGATTATGCAGTGAAATTTACACTTTGATTTGGGTTCTTTTCGCCGCTCGAAGTTTCTGTTTTTTCTTAAATAAAGCATAAGGCGCAGCTCTAGCTTTCTTTGTCTGATCCAGCGTCTTGTTTATTTACAAAAAACACTTGCCGTCGAAATAAGTGGTGAAATTCAAGCCATAAAGTACTGTGACCATGATTTTGGTTCGCAGTTCGCTTCGATGTCCATAATAAGCAGGCATTCCAGATCAGCACAAACACCTGATACAGCTTACGTATGCAATATATGTTGAATCCATATGGCACCACATGTATCGAATGGTAATCGTGTTTTAAGCTCAAAACTGCTTTCTGCTGAAGCCTGTAACATGAACGCCCATGACATCTTTTTTCGGTTTAGATTTGAGCACTGTGCTAGATTCGACACTTTCACTCTTTGCTGTTTTATTGTTCTATGAACCTTTAAACGATTGCAAGCGAAACAGGGGGTTTCATACATATGTATGGAAAACCCAAAGGGGAACTGAAGAATGAAAGGGTACTAAATACATCAGTTCCATACTCAGACAATAACTCGGACGAGTGGCGGGCCTTAACGGCTTTCCGGGCAAGCGGCGAGCTTTGATTTGTGGGCGTGGCTTTCTTGCGATTGAGCGGAGAGTGGAGGGAAGTACAATGGTAGCCCGCTTTATATCTCTAGCGGGTGGGCCGCGTGCCTCTAGAAGACGAGCGGTATGAGGCATAATCGCCCGCCCCGCAGTGGCGTACCCAGGATTTCGGCTCGGGGGGGCGCGACAAAAAATTTTTTCTAATGAAGGTGCGTGGAACGAGAAGGGAGGGAGGGGAGAGGGCTGATGGTGTTCTCTTATTTTTCCAAATCAAAGTTTATCATTTTAAATTTTCTGCTATCATTGGTTGTCTTTTTACCAATATGTGAAGACTGAAGTAGGATTGGAACCACCCTGTATGTTTTTAAAATCACCATAGAAGATATGTATGCGAGATCATCTGTTTCGGGAAAGAGGTAGACAATTTTTGAGCATTTACGAATTTTTAAAACAAAAAGCCTGACTTCTGTAGATGAACAGTAACATTAGCAAGAAAATTGTTTCCGGAACCGTCTTTTTTTTTCAGCTTTCAGGAAATATAGAGTTTGCTAAAATCTTTCTCAAAAAGTTTAGGGGTTCTGAATTTCCAGATACATATGTACCTTTAGATCAAAAAAATTCATATCTTCTGTGAATAAACATCTCGTGCGCCGTGGTGGTCACCGTAGGAACCGTCTTGTCCCTCGCTTTTAGAAGATATAAAGCATGTCTGAGATCCGTTCAAAAAAGTGCCTGGTTGAAGGGTGTGCCTAGTGATTTCTGGAGGTTTTCGAATTTTTTTAATATAAAATAACTTTTGACTTTAATAACTTTAATAACTTTTGCAGATGAACATCTTGTACGCCGATATGGTCACCATTAGAGCCGTCTTGTCCTTCGCTTTCAGAAGATATATACTTTGCCTGGGGTCCATTAGAAAAAGTGCCGGGTAAAGGGTGGGTGAAACTTTTATAGTTGGAGTGCTCAAATACAGGCTTTTTTACCATTGTGAAAAGACGTCTACTTGAGCACTCCCATTACAAAAGTCTCACCTACCCTTCACGCGGCACTTTTTTCAACGGACCCCAGGCAAAGTATTTATTAGGTCGTTTCAAATGTAACGCTTTTTTCAAATGGGCTCCACATATGATGGAACAAAGGTTTCTAAGAGATATTGGAGGCATTCGATGCAGAATTTTATTCTCTTTCTAACGGTCCTGAAATTGTTGCAAAATAATCAATGAGCTTTCAGAAAATATCTAATATTTGCGACCTATACTTTTTGAGATGGTCAAGTTTCACGATTTTTTAAAACTTTCATATCAATCCTCAGATGGAGTTTAAGTAACGATTCGATAGAGCGAACCTTATAGAATCCAGTGACTCTTTTTTCTTCTTCTCATGGCTCGCTTTAAATTTTTAAAAGATTTTTCAACAGAACCATCGGATTTTGGCAGGCCCATCTCAGCCACAATCGCATCAAACATCTTAAATTTTTCGGAATTTGAGACTACGAAGATGGTACTATGAGTTACCATAAATTTTACAAAGCATGTGAGAGTTTACGGGTTCGAAATATCAAATTTCAGGTTTTTCGGGTACAGCCTGGGGCTCGCTAAAAAAATGAGTTATGATGATTTTAACCCTGAAAAGTAAACGAATCGAAAACAAAAAACATCTGTTAGAAAGAGGAGAGAATGCTGCATCGAATAATGCTCGAGCTGCTTTTCCTCTGATGTTCTACGAGGATTTAGCTATCCAAAAATGGAAATCGGTAGCATCAGTTACAGGGTGCGGCAAAAGTCTGGGAGCCTAGCTTTGCAGTAATGCAATTAAAAAGGTACTGAAGGTTTTGATTTCAATTTTATGCCACATGATGCTGCGGTCATCCTCTACAGAATGCACTTTATTTGGTAGGAAATAGCTGCCACATGTTTTTGTAAGAATGGAGATTACAAAGTAGTACTTTTGCAAAACCAAAAAACCAGAATTTTTGGTATTTACAATTTTTGCTGTAGCTAGAGATGCTGTTAATATTTTACAAAACTTCGATGCATACAACATAGAATAGGCTTTGCGCTATTGTATCCTAGTTTTGCTTTTGCCAGAAGCTGCTCTTGCATGAACGGAAAATACAAGTTTGCGAATGTTACCTACGTGCCAGTGGAAATCCGTCTTCAGAACAAATTTAAAAACTATAGAATGCTCAACAGGCACTGGAACCAAGGCTGCATTTTTTGCATACATCTTCCAAATTAGAATCTATTGAAATTCGGCCATGGGAACACTTTTTATACTTTTTAAACGATATTTTTGAGTTTTTATTCGCGCAATTGTAGCCAAAATTCCGGTATGGGACTACACATGCTTCTAATTCAAAATCCAATATTTTTATCCCTAAGTAATGCAAAAAATTCTTCTAAAGGTATGTTGTAGACAAAAGTTTGCTCTGTCATGCTGCGCATTTGCCAAGGTAAAAGAAGCAGTTATTTTGAAGGCGTGGGGCGAATTCCATTACGACTACCTGCGTGCCATGACAGGTGGACCTGCCAAGATTTTGTAGGGCTGCGTGGAAGGTAAAAGAGGCAGTTTTGCAATTTAAGAACTGGGCTGTATCTGCAATGGTTCGAATTATGTGTACGCCAAATTTTTCGTTTCTAGGTACTTCCCTTCTCGTTTTGTACGAAAAAGTACTAGGCTCCCAGACTTTTGCCGCACCCTGTAAAATTCTGTTAAAAATATATGACAAGCTATGGAAAGGAAAAAAAGTAGTGCTATATTCTATAAGGTTTGCTCTATCGAATCTTTACTTGAACTCCATCTAAGGATTGATATGAAAGTTTCAAAAAATCGTAAAACTTAATCATCTCAAAAAGCATAGGTCGTAGATTTTGGTTATTTTCTGAATGCTCATTGACTGTTTTGCAACAGTTTCATAACCATTAGAAAGAGGATGAAATGCTGCATCGAATGCTACCAAAGTCTCTTAGAAAGCTTTGTTCCATCAAATGTGGCGCCCATTTGAAAAAAGCGAAATTACTTTTGAAACGACCTAATATTTTCTGAAAGCGAAGGACAAGACGGTTCCAATGGTGACCATCTCGGCGTACAAGATGTTTACCTACAGAAGTTTTTAATGTTAAAAACTCGAAAATCTCCAGAAATCACTAAGCACGCTTAAGTCAAGAACTCTCGTTGGTTGAACGAAGAGGTCACTGTTGAAAAAAGTATGAAAAGCTGCATCGAAATCAGCCAAAAGCTTTTGACGATCATTGTTCTGCTGGATGTTAGGCGCGTATGAAAATAGCGAAATCACTTTGGAACATCTAACCTATCAGAGGAAAATAAAGCGCTATACGTATACGAGTCAGGGAGCCCTTAGTAGATACGAGACGAGGGAATTTCGCATTACGGGGGACATATTGAGGGGTGTAGCGCACGATATTGGTAAATTTGATGTAGAGTGCAATTTTACTATATGAGACAGAAATACCTGCAAAAAGACTTTGGAAGCCGCTTAGATTTTCTATGAATAGTAAAAATGAGTGTTTATATATAACGACCGAACTCTTGCCTTTCTCGTCGATATGCAAGCTGCAACCTTATACATTAGGTTGTTCAGAAAATAATGTCGCATCGTGATTCAACATGCAATATCGCAGCAGTGTGAAAATAAGTAAGCGGGGGGTATCAACCGATGGGTCAGAGCAAGCTCTACAAAATAAAGTTTGAACCTTCACGCCAGGTTTGATTTGCGTGAAGTGTGGAGCCAAATTACATAAGGCACTACAAATTTGAAAAAAGAAGAAAATCGTACCTCCGTTCAGAAAGTCCTTGGAACCCCTAACTTGCTCAGCATGGACTCTCCTATACGAAACGCTCGTATGCACATTTTCGCGGTTTTTACATGGCTGAAAATTGAGGAAAACGAAGTCCGGCATGTTTTTGCCAAAACAATTTTAAATTTCTCTCACATGGGTGATTCTTTAATATAAACCTTTAGGAATATA